ACCAATGATTTATGCAAAAATTCAAAACTCCCCTTAACAGATATATGCAATTAATAAGTAGGGCTATTTCTCCAGGTAGCCAGTGTGCCAATAGCAGTTTAAAAAAAAAAAAAAAGATTTAGCTTAATAAGAGGAACTGATGAGTACTTCAGCTTCAGATGCCCTCGTAAAATTTTATTTTTGTGCTGTAGTTTCTCAACTCTACCTCACAAAAATTGTTTTGACTTGCTATGAAATTATATTTTTTGCCACTTTATTCATTTAGAAAAAATTGCACAGAAATCATGTTAGCATTTTTTTGGAATGACTTGTATTCATCATATTTTTGAACCCATCACTTTGAAAGGCAGATCTACATAAAATGTCCGATATTAAATTATACAAAGCTAAGACAGAGCATATCTCCTGCATAACAGTGGAAAGAAAAAACTGAAACAGAAAATATTTAAATGATTTGAGTGTGTAACTTGAGTGCGACTTGTTTACGTCAATGTTTAATACAGAAATTCCAGATTTTAGGAAACAGATTTTTCTTGATCGCGTTCTCTTTCCAAAACAAGTTCATCTGTCAAAATGCAAAATTTCTATCATACTTCATTCAACCCTTAGTAAAGATTTACCCAGTACTGTTTATTAACTTACTGTTTATAATGTTGATCTTGCGAGATGCATATTCTTTGCCCAGTACGACGGAATCGCCGTTCTTAACTCCCACAGTGCGGATTGTTCTGTCTTTATCAGGACAGTTGTTGACGGGGTCAATGTTGGCCTGAGAGATGGCAGTATCCGTACTGCTGGGGCTAAGTGCCACTTGAATGGGGTCCCGGCAGTAGGATTTGTACTTCCATGTGACAATAGGAGGGACAGTGGCACTCGTTGTGTACTCACAATTGAGTGTGACAGGTTGGAAGAGCATGACAACGTACCTCTTGGTTGGACAGGTAACCTCAATAGCCAAAGTAGACTCTGGAAAAGTTTAGAAAATAGTATAAGTTAATAAACAGGTCTACTACTGTCAAAATTTTACATTGTTTTTGCAAACTTGGCCATAGAAATCACCGTAGTCTGCAATATTCAAGGTGTGGTGCAAAAACAATGTTTCTTCATAGTATCACTCAGAGTGGGCAAGTTGAGTCACAGCCATGCGTCATTCTTTCAGGGTGACCCACATTAGTTATGTCCCACTGATCCACATTCCCTTAAGATATTATAAAGCTGAGGAGTCAAAATAAAAGCTTTTGCCATTCAGATGTTTGTCCACATAAATGAGTTGGGGCAATTTAAATATCTACTCCAGTGTGTTAGCCCCATTTCACAGGTCTGCAAGGCTCAACAAGATGAACATCACTTCGAAGAAGATTAAAATGAAGATTCAATCCGGCTTCTAAATAAGTTTAAATGCAAGCAATAGCTGACTCCAATCGGAATAGCTTACAAAATTTATGTTTAATATATTTTATGTGGAAATATTACATTTTTATGAGCCTTAACAGGGAAAAGTTGCAGATTCAAAATCCCAAATTAGACAATATTTTCTTCTACAATTACCCACAAAATCTGACGCATTCTCTTTGGAAACAGAATTACAATGTTCCGTCACAAAGGAACAGATACACGGAAAGGAAACCAAATGCTTTTAGTTTTAAAATCGAACTATTTGAATAACTTTGTGGATTAAATATATAACTTTACAATCTGCAACAAATAACTGTAACAACACAGAAAACTATGTGTTACTCTGTAGGCCAACAGACAGTTATTTTGTACAGAGGAAAACAGAAAAACACAACGGATTTCACGGAAGGGCCCACCCTGTCTGAACGAAAAACAGGCCAACTCACCTGTCGCCATTAAAACGGCGACGAAGACCGTCCAAAACATATTTAATTCTCGCTCCTCGATGACTTAGTTAAAATACACTAAATACAAATTCAAAGTAATTAAAAAAATAATAATAATACTGCAAAAACACTTATTTTAATCTCAGCCAGGCAGCGCCCACTCCATTTTGAACGCCCTGTAGACGAAGAGGAGGAACCTGAATGCTTCACATTACAAAAACAGTCAACAGGTAAATGTTCGGACATGTTGCGAAACACAGGGGGTATCCATTTTTTTTCCCCTTGTTTTCTTTCTGATATGTGTATACTTATCACCAAAATCTGGATTGGGAGCTTTAAAGTCGTTTGAGCTGTTTCATTTGACTTCATAATTTTCACTACAGTAAGCAAATATAGCCAGAAAAATATATTTTCACAAGTTTCTCCTACCCGGAACTACTTGGTACGATCCAGGCACTGCCATCAAAGTTGACATTTGTTAATGTTTCACTCAGTGGTTTCGGCCTGGTTGATAACAGTTTTATCTTTCATATCACTCAGTGAAACCTTGCTTCTCTACAATATTCTGAATTGTACCCATCAAAGATAATACAAAATTAATACACATCAAAGATGGTGTATTATGTAATGAAGTCCTTAAAGCTGTGCCAAACATCCGAAAACAGTTTTCGTTGTGGTTGACATTCTGTAAATGTACTAGTAGAAAAAGAAGGTTCGCTTACAGTTTCCCCCCTACCAAGATGAGGTAGGGCATTATACAGGGTATAAACTATTATCCAGGGTGGCTGCTTCGAAAGGAACCTGGGAGAATAGCATGGACTGAGTGTAATGAGTAAATACAGGCGCTTCATAGACTGAAAAACCACTGAAACTTTTATCGCGTTTCCGTAATGTAGATCAAAAACGGAAACTCAATTATTTATGACACATGGTCATATAAAAATGTGAATATAGCATAAAATCAATTTTAAAAAAAAAAGATTCTGAAAACAGTATCATTTTCTGACAGGTTTAATTTTAGCTTTGTAAAGCAATAAGTCAATCATTAAAATAATCCATATAAAAACTATAATTGCTGTCTAAAGCAAAAAGCCAATTGAATACATATCGCCTGTGACTTTGCATCATGGCAATTTTGGCTGAGTCTCACTTCTTAGTTTTAACCCTTTCTCCAATCTCTTGGTAGTTAATTCAGGCAGTGGTATCCCAGTGAGAAATGGGATGTCAAGAAGCTGACACATCCTCAGATCATCTGTAGATGTCTCATTAACAGCTATCAGCATGCACCAAATGTCACCATACATAAGTTATGCCTATTAAACTGGAGTGGAGTGGATACAGGCTAATTCCTCCTAAGCATTTTGTTAGAAAAATTAAGAGGCTAGATTAATTAAAAGCTACACTCATGATTTATGTAACATAAATTATATATTATGGCCTCTGATTTACTTTACTGTTAGTCAAGTGAAGTTGCTCATCTTAAATATTGATCCGTCACATTTGGTATATATAATTTCTGTTTGTGATCAATCTGCAGTTTCTTCTGAAGCATCTGTACAGGGCCTGAACAACCTGGCTTTAATATCAGTGTAGTATGTAAACATTTTCATCCAAAAGAACATGGCACTCCTACCTGCTTGGATGGATGATGAAGATGATGACGATGTGAATGCCCCCTAACTTTGCTGTGGACAGCAGCTGCACTTTTACCTTGTATCTATGATCTGGATACTCATGTGGTCAAATATGGATCAAACTGTCTAGAAATTACAGTTTCACAATTGAGTTTCAGAGTCATGACTGGTTATGACCTAATCAACTAACTATATGGAAAGTATTTCCATTTTTAGCTGGTTTTTGACTTGACAAATCTATTTGATCTGTTGTGGCTATATCCACCTTGTGCCATCAACCAGTGCCTAATATAACTTTGTTTTCTGGAAGTTAATTGCGACTTTTGAACTTAACCTTGATATAATCACCTGTCATAGAATTTCCTCTAAATGTTTTCTAGCAATGTAACAATGTCTTTAAAACCAATTAATAACTTTTCTCCAGTTGTTCTTTCATTTTATATGTTCAGTTTTAGAACTATTTAGTTTACAGATCTCTGAGTCTGTGTTTCTGTTTTATTAACACATCTGTGATTATATTATGCTCAGTAGTTTTCATGTTTTGACTTCATTTCAGCCATGATGTTTGTTTCTCTGTGTATTTCTTCCAGTTGAAAGAAAAGTCCCCTCCCCCTGACTGTCACCACTGCAGCTGAGACTGAAAGTATGACTTTATATACTTTTAATCAATTAAGATACTTAATATGTATTGCTTTATAGATATAGCTAAAACAGCTTTGCTATAGATAAAGAAATAATAAAACAATGCAAAAAAAACAGTATTAGTTCTGAAAAAGAAAAACAGTTTACACTCATATTTTGGATTCAAGTTGATTTTTGCTGGGCAACTCCAAAGCAACAATGTTACTTGCAGTCAGAAGAAACATGTTGTTGACAGGGGTAAGGATAATATTAGGCCTAACAATATATAAAATAAAATAAAAACTTCACTGGTTATTTTTTTTCTAAAATGAACTCAAATCATAATCAATTAAACATTTTTGAAATGTGTTGACATCTTTCTTTTCTCTCCCTGTGAATGAGCATCTGTGGAAATGACAGAAAACAAATGATTAAAAATACTGTAAATGTTAAGAAGTTGCTGTCAAGCAAAGTTGACAGGATTGCGACTGGATAGAGAATCCATTTCGGTGGTTGAAATATTTTGCATTTACATGGCCAGTCTTTTCTCCTCACTGTCAAATTTAGTTAAACATATCATTCAGTACAATAAGTGTGGCTTGAATCAGCCCTAAAATAAGATGAAACATGTTTTGGCTCTCCTTTTCTGGCGAATGGATTACTACTTCCCTCTAGTGGTCAGTAATACATTTCTGAGTCTATGTATGTTTCTGCAGTACCTGCAGACTTACTGTATTGTAAATGTTTTGTTGTTGTTGTTGTTGTTTTATTCAAAGCTCATAATTCACTGATACAAAATTTTCTGAAGACAGGAAAACATCAGATGTCACTGCATAAACTAAATTTAGGACGGTTAAGTTTTTCAGTAAAATGTTTTGAAAGTTGTGTGATGAATCATACTTAATCTGTTTAAGATCACCCAGACAAGATGAAAAGAAGAGCTGTAATATAGAAACAAATTTTTGTCACTCACTGAGTTAACCTACTTTCAGAAAGTAGACCTTTATTGTACTTGTAATGTGTACACAGTAATACATACCAACACATATTACTCCAGTGTGTGCAGAAATCTGGCCTTTATTGGGATAAGGAAATCAAGCAGCATTAGCGTTAATTTTGCTATATATGTATGTTCAATTTAAAAGTGAATCTTCATTATAAAAGTATTGGTTTTTCAATCAGGCAAATAACATGCTTACTTGTAGCACTCTGTAAACTATAATCACTGCAGACTGATACCAGATAAAGTTAAAGCATGCAGTCTATTTTAAATACTCACTGAGCACGTTATTAGATATACACATTAAATAGTATTTTTATCAGATATGGTAAATCAGCCACCTGGCAGCAACAATGTGCTTATGCATCTGTTGTGTGTGTATGCGTACTTGCACCAGTAGTCGGTCCGTGGAATCTACGGTTGGTGTTTTGCTCTTCTTCACCTACAAAAGAAAGAAATAAAAAAAATATTCAAATAAAACATATATTTATATAATAATAATAATATATAATAAAATAAAAATATTTGTATTCTATATTTTTATTTATTTATTATTATTATTATTACTATTATTATTATTTAAATATTTATTTTATATATATATTACATTAAAATGTCATTGTTTCAGCAGGAACTATTGTTCACGTAGGTCACATGAAACCAATAAAGGACAATGTGTTTTTTATTCTTATGTTTAGTCATAGATTTATGAAGTACTTCTGTAAATCTGACTCACTCTTGTCTCGCCTCCTTTCTCAAATTACAGTAGAAAGCAGATTTGCAATTAAATAATGTTATTTCAGTGGTGAAACAACAGTCACTTAACATCATCAAAGATAAATGTTTTGCAATGCCTTACTTACACCCTTTAGATATGTTGGTAATTTTCAGTCCATTCGTCTCTGCCTCAAATTTCTGGATGTTTATTGGACAGTAGATTTTGATGGTGAAGTCGGAATGGCACACCGAGCAGTTCTTTCCTACTGGACGAACTCCAGAACAATTTGGGATGTTTTCTTTAAATTCTTTTTCAAAGAGAAGGGAGTCATGAGGTCCAAAAATCCTCTCTATGTTTGGGCATCTGCTCTTGTCCCTGCAGGTAAAGCAGTCATGCGTCGTCCAATCTAGAGAAACTTGGATAAAATGAAACATATAATGTGCTTCACGTTCACTGGGTAAAAGTTAAAAGATAATAAACCTGTTTTAAAAAAAATACATTACTCATCAAACAAGGATAGTTACATTTTATGGCCCATCATATTAAACAATTAAATAAAAATAAGGGATTAAAAGTGTTTACAAACATACCAGCAAATCCAGGACAGATAGTGAGTATCACAGCTACTAGATAGCAAAGAGACACTGTAAGAGAAATAAAAGTGCATTTCTACTTATGAGAATTGATTTAAAATGTATATATTAAATTGCTGAAGAAACTTGAGAAGTAATTCGACAAAGTAGCCAAATTACTTTTTCTACTTAAGAATTGTAACAAAATAGACTTGATGTCTATCGTGTTACTTTTTTTTCTATAAACATCCTTTTATATCTTTGTAAGAAATTCCAATATGACAGCAATATGGTACACTCCATATTGTAATTCAGTCAAACACAATTATAGGGTTTTTTAAAGTGACAAAAACTATAAAACTGCATTGAAATGGGTAACAAAGAATAACAAATAATGGTTTTTTTCATTTATGCATGCAGTGGACCTAGATTTAATATCATATCCCTATCCTATTATTTTTCAACAAAATAAGTTATTGTGATTTTGTCTTTTCAGATCTTCTACTGCACCTTTTCTGCCCTCCATTTCAGAAAACATGATGCAACTCATGGAGTCTCTGTAATGGCTGCTGTCTTAAGTGCTTCTGCTTTCATAATGTTTTATTACATATAACCATGACATAGTGAGTAGCACAGATTTATATCTCAGAGGATAAGGTTTCTTGTGTGTTTCATTACCTAAAAAGAGGATGGGAAATCTAAACTAAACTAGTTTCTAAACTAAACATGGATCTTTGTTTGGGCATCTGCTTTTGTCCCTGCAGGTAAGGCAGTCGTGTCGTCCAAAATGCTTTTGGATTGTTTCTGCTTTTGGATTTCATCAAAAGCAGAAACAAAAGGGTTGACAATTGCAACACTGTTCCAGGCATCAGTTTAACATATTTATGTAACATTTAGATGGATCTGTTTCATAAATTCAATAAATGAGAATGTAGCAAACATTTCCTCTCTTTTGATTGTGCAGGTATCCAGACTAACATTTCAAACGTTTGTAAATAATTCTAAACACACCTTCTGTTTATCCTATATTTATTTAGCAAATAATTTTCAAAGACTCTGGCATTTGACATTAACACATCATTATTACGATTAAGTATTGCTAGTCAAAAACTGTGGAATACCTGAACAATACCAGGAATACTAGGTATTCCTGTGTTACCTGCCAAGAATGAAAACCGTTAAAAGCTTTGAATGAAAACCGTTAAAAGCTTTGAATGAAAACTGTTAAAAGCTTTGATACTCAATGTGTTAATCACATTCAACCCAGAACAATATGGATGATCATAATGGTAGTTCAGGCTAGGGGTGTGGGTTAACCACCGAAGTTTCTCAGGAGCTGTTTTCGAGGCTTACGATAAGTGAAAGAAAATTAAAACTCAGCAAAATATACAAGGTTTCTCAGTGACTTATTCAAGCCAGACTAATCAGAAACTGAAAAAAAAAAAAAACAAACTTACATTTTGTCCTTTGCTTTGTGAAAGCGTGCATCATGATCAGTTGCCGTTCCCAAAGCTGTCTGGTAAGTTTTTGACTAATCCAGGAAGTTGTGTTTAACATTTAACATTCACCACGTGGTGGCTTTTCATTTTTGGGCAAGCTAAGCTGATGAGCTTGTAGGTTTTAAAAGTTGTTCCTTACAGAGCAGTATATTGAGAGAGAGAGAGACCATTTCACAACAAGTAGTTGCTACACAACACTCTTGTAACTCATAAAAGTTTTGGCTTAATTTTAAATGCAAACTTGCATCCTCTGAGTGTCATAGGGGAGGCCATCAGACACTAATCAGTCGGTCTAATCAAAGTATTTCTGAGCTACTGTTAGTGTTGCTGTAATGTAAAATGTGCTTTGGGGAAAATAAACTGGGGGAAAAAAATCATAGTCAGAGTTCAGAGACTGGTTTAATAGATTCACTGTGACACTTTAATACACTTTATGCTTTATTGATGCTTCAAAGAAGCAGAGTTTTGAACAGTGATATCTGCCCACACAGTAATCTTGTTCTCATTAGTGGTGATTTTTGATTTTCAAAAAAGTGGGCAATATAAAAATAATTATGACTTACTGAAATCACAATAGCTTTAAATAACCAAAACCATATCATGTTGGAAGTATTTTTATTGTTTATCAATTGCAAATAGTAATATGTCAATAAGACTAGCATGCATTTAAAAATTAAGTAAGCGGAAAAATTTTGTCTTGACATAGCAATTGATTGATTAGCAAATCACAGCAATAATAAAAAGTGTAGTTAACTGCAAAGAAAAATACAAATCCACAAGTGGAAAATAGCAAGCAACAAAAAAAGAATCAAGGGAGTAACAGTGTCTATGGGAGCAGTTTCTACCTGGATTTACTTTAATGTTTTCATCACATTTCCTATAATGTTAACAAATACAAAATGGTGTTACTGGAAATAATTAGAGATTAAAAATATCACAGCTGACTTACTTTATTTTTGGGATTATTTGATTTTTGAGTTTATTATGCATATATGATTAAAAAAAGAAAATATCAGACAAAAAAAATATCAGAAAATGTAAAGAATTATTTAAGAATCCAAATCTATGAAAAATTTAACCAACCATCTTGATTCTTCCAGACCTGAAAATAAAAATTACATGCAAGCACAAATGATGACCATCTAATAGCAAGTTCTGTCTTCCCAACCAGGCACACTCACAATGTAGATCACGGTGATTCAGAGCAGCATCACAACAGCAACTGTAAAATGACAACACAAGTCAAGTTGAGTCAAAGCAAAAACAGAAAGGTTAGCGGATTTATCCCACCATCAAGATCCATAATACATACCAACCAAAATACACACGAGTCCAGTAAGTAAATGAGTGGGACCTACAAATGAAGCAAAAATAGCAAATAGTATTGGAACAAAAACTAGATGTTAAATACATTTCCAAAGGCATTTTGAATTGTTTTTTGCTTCTGAACAGATTAAGACAGCCCTGCTGTTTGTCTCAGGGCTCAGTGGTAGAGAAAGAACCATTTGTACTGATATCAGTTCTCTGTCCAGCTGTAAATGGCTTTACACTTGCACAGACAATGCCAGTTGACAGTGTCAACCAGCATTGTCACCCTTTATTTTCTGCCACATTGCAATAAAAGAAAGAGCTCTAGAAAGCTGTGCTTTTATGACAATTATCACAGTTAATTTCGATGACCTGCAAAGGCCAATAGTGTTGTGATCCAAGCTGTATACATACTCGCTTTGTTAGCTGGTCCATTAGGTGCAGAGTAAGACTTCTGCTGCACATCACCTGAAGGCAAAAAATGAAACATAAAATTGACATGAATGGACAAAAGACTTGACAAGAGAGGAAAGGAGATTTTTTTTTATTCTTATCCTGACAGAAAAAAATATGAAAGTTTGATATGATAAGTCCAAACGTATAACTTTTGTTTTGACTTTAGAATGCATAAGAACTGGTATATCATATATTTTATTCAGTTTACTTTAAAATGTCATAACTGTGTTATGAAATTTCAAATCTTTCTGGACTGAAAAGAGTCCCCAAAGTTTCAACACTTTAAATACATCTCCATTTCAATATTCTTTGAATAAATGATTAAAACATGAGTTGAAACTGTAGAGAAAAAGTGAAATAAGTGGGGAAAAAATGTAGACCTAAAACCAATTAACAATCTCAAGTAAGATTTGTACAAAGACACTCCTCGTCTAAGCTGATTGACCTTGAGCTATGTTGCAAAGAAGATTAGATAAAATTTACAGATTCTTTCTATTAAAAGCTGGAACAGAAATATCCCTATACACCTGCAGCAATAATTGCAGCAAAAATATTTTTTACAAAACACAAATGTATTTTTTTTCTAAGAATGTTGAAACAATATCTCTTTTACACACGATTTTGTGTTGTCTGTTATATGGTTGCATAATTTCAGAAATTTGTGATACTTTACCTTAGAGTACCTTAGAGGTTATACAGGATGAGAAAGCAAAACACTTCAAATATGAGATTCTACCAAATATTGCGTCCAAGTGGCCCTTTGTGATTGTGATACTACGCGTACTGATATTGTGATAATGATGTCAGTTTGATGTCCTGGGCAGCTCTAATCTATTGCATAAGTTTGTGATGAAAATATGTCAACACATAAAATATTCAAGGAGTTAAAAATATTACGAAAGGAACTGCAGCTAAGTTCCTTCCATAATGAGGAACTCAGTACGTATGCCGAGTTCAGCATAAGTGCTTTATGAAATACTTACACCCTTTAATGATGTTTGTGATTCTTGAGCCATTGCAATCCTCCGCCTCAAATGTTGTGATGTTGTTGGGACAGTAGATGTTCACGTCTGACTGAGACCGGCACACAAAGCAGTTCTGTGTGATTGGAGGGGCTCCAGAACACTTTGGGATTTCTTCTTCAGTGGGTCTGTCATAGACCAGACGATCATTTTTCACATATATCGTTATCAGGTCTGGACATCTGGCCTTGTCCATGCAGGTGAAGCAAGAGCCTGTGGGTCCAACGTGAGAAAATAAAACAGTGACTTAAATAAAAACAACTAACAAACTTTTTTACTCAAACTTTCGGTTTTATGTTAGCACATCATGTTAAAAAGATGTTAAAATAAGACAAGTCTTAAGATAAGTATAATGGCCAGTACTAGTTCTAAGAGTAACAAGTTTAAAACAAAGTCTTGTAATTATTCTTCTTTCTTCAGATCTGGCAAGACACACGTAAATACACAAACATATAAATATAAAGTAAACATTTCTTTGGAGAACATACGTGGTTTTTATACAAAAACAAGAGTATACACTATGCAAAAAAAAATAATAGTTGCTAGTGGAAATGTCTCATAGTTTGTGGTGTTATTTTATTTTGCAATTTAATTTGGAGAGTAAAGCAGCAAAGTCTTGTTAGGAATGAGAGATCAGTTAATCTTTGACAGCCACAGATGATAGAAAGGACTTCTCTTAAAACTCTACTTGTATTATATAGCGCAGATTTCAATCAACAATTGTCAAAACAGATAAAATATAAAAGACTTGATATCACATCAGTTTACATACCTACTACCTTTAGTAGATGCTTCATCATTGTTGGCTACAAATCAACTTCTTGAAGCTTTTCTAATAGTGGAGTAGAGGAAAATGATTGTTGTAATTTTACCGTCGGGCACTAACATTCCCGCTCTAGTTAGTATTCATCCCTATCCACACAGATGGCATCTTCCTGTCTTCATAAGAGAGTATTTTGGTTTCCCTAAAGGTAAGAGTGAATCATAGATTCTCTGAATTTTTCTGTCAAATCCTGAAGGTTTGAACTAAGTCATAATTAGTTTTAGCTTTCCAACTTTAACTAATGATTGGGTCATTAACCTTAGTATATTTTATTGAAAGTGGTGAACCTGCATTATTCAATGACGATCAATTTTACACTTAAGCTAGATGAATATAAGCCATATCACTGCTTTAATAATTATTGTTTTGTAAGTGAAATGTTTCTGGTGGTTTGAAGTGGAGTATATTGAAAAGTTTTTAAGAACATACCAGCCGACGCATCACAGACACCAACTAATTGCATTGTCATCATGGAACAACACACTGTAAAAACAGACAAGAAATACAATGTGTGTTTATTTATCATGCATATTGTTTCTTTAACTTTGAGCACAGGAGATATGAATAGATTTCTAACTTCATACTACCAATCAAGGTTTTCCACTTTAATTTTGTGCTGTAGCGATCAGTAATTCTTTTCCCTGGAACCCTCGGATGTCTCTTTTGAATTTTTTCCCGAGCTTTCTGTCTCGGGCGGCACGGAGCGAACACTTCTTTCAGTCCTCCGTCCATCTTTCCTGGAAATGGTTGCTCTTCCGGGTCAGGGCTTGACTGCTTCCACTTTCTCGCTTCATCCAACTCTTCCCCGGTAAACGCACAGTAATTAGGCTCAAACACCACTGGCATTTCCTTCGTTGTCAGCTCGGAGATCTCTGCCTCAATAAACATGGGTCTCACAGAACTCGTTTTATTTGCATTGGGCAACCCACATCCAGCAATGTAATTGTCACTGGAGACGTGCTTCATGTCAGCTGAGAAACCTGCATCACTGTAACAGACAAAGGAATGTGTTTGCACGCAGTTTCATTTAGAAAATATTAGTTTAAATTTGAAAATGCTGGCATTTATCAAAATGAAAGTAAAAGGAAGACAATGGATAAACATACCCACTTTCCTGGGTGGGAAGGCCTTTCCCACCTTTAAAATGAAAACACAATATGGCCAGGATTACTAGATTACAAAGCAATAATATTCAAAAGCATCAACTTAATATTCTGAAAAGTGTATAATAAATAGAGTAGAAGAAAATATTGTAAAAATGTGACACTAAGAGAAAAAGAAATATTAAAGTCAGAATGGAACTCCCTAATATCTGTTCATTTGTTACATATGTTGAGCACAAATTAGTAGAAACTGATGGTCAGTGGATGTAAGGTGCTGCTGAGAGTTTAAATAGTAACACTAATATCTCCAAATTAAAGCAGATGACTTAAATTTACTGAACCTGGTTCTGCTAAAGGTTTCTTCCTGCTCAAAAGAAAATCCCCTGTTGCCACATGTTTGCTCTTGATTGCTGA